TTGCAGCCAGAGACCAGGCCTTTGGTATAATGGAGTTTAGAGGAGATGCCCTGAATTTAGCTCATGCAAAAAGGATACTAAAAGCCAGGCATGGTAGTACATGTCTGTAATCCCAGAACTCAAGAGGCTGAGGCAGGAGAATCTCCCCAAATTCAAGGCCAACCTGGGCTACATAGTGAGTTCAAAGCCAGCCTGGACTACATAGCAGGATCCTGTCTCAAAAAAAAAAAAAAAAAAAGATACTGAGACATAAACTGAAAAATAAAAGAACTCTGTTTAGTCCCACTTCTAATGCCATTGGATGAATAACTGTCTCATAGGAGCTTGTCTGGTTTAGTGTATAAGCAACTCTTTGTCACCAAGGGAACAGACAGGTAAGAAGAGCAGAACTGTGAGGCTGCACTGGAGCATTTCTCAATAGGTGAAAGAGACAAAGCAGGAAACCTTGAAGGAAGACCCCAGCCTGCCTCCTTCTCCTCCTCATATAGCAGGTTGGCCTGACCCTCAACTTTAAGTGGATTGTCCAGTGAGCCAATGTGGCTGTCACATAGACTGCATTTGCTTTTCACTGTAAAAGACCATAATATAGAGTTAGCTGGGGCAAACACAGCAGCAAAGACCAAAACTTCATATTAGGAGCAAAACTCCAATATTTCTGGAGGAAAAAAAAACTTAACATGCAAAATAAATTCACTGGGAATTTACTTCATCTTTACAATTTGTAAAATAAATTCAAGAGAGAATTTTATAGAGTTGCAGGAGTTGAACTTGATTCATAAACCACAGTGGTTAAACTTTTTAGGTATCAGACAGGCACTGGCTTATATGATCTTTCTGCTCTGCTCACACCATAAACATCTCCACATCTTCAACCCTACCACTTTCAACAGGCACACTCATGGGTTTGAATTTGTTATGACCCAAGAAGTAATAGTTCAGTGTGATAAGATTCTACCTGGCTTTTCCTGACTTTGTCTTATCCATGCAATAGTTTCCTTAGATCTGGCCCCTCCTCCTGTCTTCCTGAACAGAGATGGATGGAATCAAAGTTAAACAATCTGGTCTTTGTAAATAGGGAAGGGTGGAGGAGGTGAAGGGAGGGCAGGGGAAGGGGAAAAAATAAGAACAAAGATACATCATATACAGGTACAAGATCCCAGTGATGAATGTAACTGTACTGTATACCTAAAATGTACCAATGAACTTAATGATAAATTTTTTTAAATTAAAAAATTAAGTGTGCCGTGCTTTTAAAAACAAGGAATGAATATATATATATATATATATATATATATATATATTTAATTTTAGAGAGAAGTGGAAGAAATGAGGAGATATATAAGTCAAAGTGTGCAAAGATGCAGTTATCCTAGATGAAGAAGTCTAGGGATCTAATGGAGAGAGAGATAGAGAGAAAAGGAAGGAGAGAGAACAGGGAAAGAAAGGAACTATGTGAGAGAATAGACCTTCCAATTTATTTGATGGTAGTAATTGCCTTGTATATGAAAACATCATATTGTACATCTAAATGAATAAATATCTTTAAAGGACAGAAAAAAAAAGTTAAAGAATCTGGTAGGAGGATTGAGGAGACACGTTCCCAACTCACAGCAGTTTCAAGAAGTTCTCAGGTAGCAAAGAAACACCAACAGAATTCAAAACTTTCATCCATTGTGTTGTTCTTATCCCTTCCACATCACCAGTACAACTATTGTGCGAAGGGGCTCTAGCCCCAAAATGGGCTCCTTGCACAACAACCCCAAGGAGGCAAGTGGTCACTTTCTGCAAATCCCACATCCAATCTAAAGATGGTAGTAAGTGGGGAAGGGTGCTAGCCGCCCCAGTACTCCCATTTACTTCTACCATGTTTTGCTTATAAATACGTTTGTGGTAGTGTTTTCCTTTGAAGTATTTTGTGAAGGATCTCTTCAATTTTATCCATCTTCTCTTTGTCCCTCCTAATGAGGGAGGAGCTGAAGAGCCCACCTACAAATAAGAGAAACCTCCCATAATCTACCAAGAAGGGAAGTGGGCAAACCCAGCCAGAGCTTGGTAGCTGATGCTAGCTTTAACAAAGAAGTATGCAGTTTACCCTTCAATTATGATTAAGAGTGGTATAAAAACATAAACACTCTTAATCATAATTGACAGCCCTAAGAGGGGACCTTGCTGATTCTGTATGATTCCTGGGGGGAGATGTGTTTACTATCCATGGCCATCCGTGTGATGAGTAGGTGCTAGCAGGAACCTACAGAGGTGTGGCTGAGCGTGGAGCTGCAGAGGTAAGAGTGATAGAGGCAGGTTTGAGAGTGATAGAGGCAGTTGCCCAAACAGCTCTTCAGGGCGCTGGACTGTGGCCCTCCTGATGGAGGGTGGAGACTGAGAGTCAACATGTCTCTGTACTCAGGCACTCTTTTGTGAGTCCGACCCATGTACAAGAACTTGGCATACTCACAGACAGCCTGTCTAACTTCACTGCTTGAGATAATCATCTCATGGCTTCCAGCCTGTCTGGGGCACACTTATAAAGATTTCTTGCCATCCTATGGGTGAGCTCTCTCTGGGGAAAGCTTTTGGTGCCTGGACTTGAAGCAATGGGAAAACTTCTTCATTATCCCTGCTGACTGCAGCTGGACACCCAACCAGTGAAGCCCCATTGGAGAGGCCTAATTTCTGTTTGAACATGGTGATATTTTTTCCAGAAGTTGAGATGCTCCCAGTGTGTCAGTGTAGAATTTGGATTACAAATTAGTCCCCCTTTGATTAATATTTAGTAAGTCAAACATTTTTGCTTTATCTTTCAGGTTGCCCTCAAGGTTTGACACATTGCAGGATATATAATAAATACTCAGTAAATACTTTTCAAATTAAATCAAGCAGCAGATCCACAGCTTGGCTGTTCAGAATGGTGGGCCACTTGGTGCTACACTTCCTGGCTTATATCATGTGCTAATGATGTCATGTGGCTGTTGACTCTCCTGAAGCCTCTGCTCGCTGTTCAGCCCACTGGCCACTGTCTGTTCACCAGTCTCCTCTCTCACTTATTTTATGAAACTCCAAAAGATGTAATAAACATCTTGTCTGCAAGAGGCAGACAAGAAATGGAAGAAGAGTGCTAATAACATGCTCCATCTATGGAGCACCTCCTCTCTACCAGGCCCTCAACACACTTGATTGCTTTTCATAACTCTTCCTGTAAGGTCCATGTTCTTGTTCTACTTAGATGACAATAGAGCACAGGGAACCTAAGGGGCTTCTAAAATCCTGACAAGAGAAGGTATGCCTGGGGTTCACATAGTACAGCTGTGCAGTGTTTCCATGCAGGACAGAGCAGCTAATAGCACCATGAAGACAGAAACATGGCTACTCTAACCTGAACCTATTTGTAGCCGGGGACATTACCACGCACACTGCCTACAGCACCCTTGTCAGTCTCTGCCTGTGTTCCCAAACATCATGCTCTCCCTCCAGCTCCCTTTCCTTAGTTCCAAATTTCTGTGCCCCTGCTCATCCTTCCCTTCAGTTTCCAGGCATTTCCTGCTTTAAAATAATTTACTGCCTGTAGGATGCTGGAAAATCAATACTGAGCAGCAAACTCTCTGTTGAGATTTCCTGAAGAAATTCTGAGCCAAGATTGAGTGGGTGAGCAAAATCATGGCTTCCCACAGCAGCCAGGAAGTGGTGGCAGATGAAATGATAGTTCAAAACCCCTAGAGGCCTGTATGTCTGCCTCTTCAATTAATTGAATACCGTCCTTTCAGATAACTGGAGCCTCGGTCCACTGGCCAAGGCTGGTAGCCAGTCTCATCCCATAGAGATGCCATTATAGACAATGGTAGGATAGGTGGCAGCAATGGACACTGAAGCTGTAGTGAGGCCCTGAGATTATTAGATCAAAGGAGATTCGTGCTTCAAAGGAAGAGGTGAGGAGCTTAATGCCAGCCAGGCAGCTTGGCTGTAGCCAAGGGCAAGCTCCTAGGAGAATGCCTGAACACCCACCTAAAAGTAACCATCCCTGAGACTGAGAGATCCAGAAATATGTGATGAGCCTACTAGAAGTTCTCAAAAAAAAAAAAAAACGCGCATATGGGACCAAAATTCTGATGACCTTTGGATAACGGTAGGAAACCACCTTAAATCCAATTAACTGCAAAGACTTTCATTTTATGAGTAGTATACAAGTTGAGGACAAGTGTGCCACCCAGCCATCCTCCTTCTCCATCCTCCTCTAGGTCATCTACTCTCTCATGAATTAGAAGGGGATCCCAGTTACTGGCTTGCCCACAATGTCCATGTGTTTCTCTTCAGCCCTGAAGATGAAAATTTGCAGTCTAATCATAGTGTTATTTAAATCTTTGTGCCCCTGAATGTCAGTTCCCTGCAAGAGATCTCTGGGCACACGTCCTCTGCTGCCTTCTGTTGAGACAGTCTATGTAACCATCACATCCTCTCTCCAAGGGCTCTATTTATAGTTTAAGGACTGCCAGTTCCCTAAGCATGGCCTGAATCTAGCTGCTCTCTACAGCACCCTCTCAGCTTCCACTGTGTAACCACTGCTTCTTAGATGTGTAGATGGTTAGATGGTTGGATAGAGGTGTGAATGATTTGATGCATGAATGATTAGATGAATACATAAGTGAATGAATATATTTGCAAAATAGGCCCCTGGAATAAGAGCTGAAACTGTTACCTGTGAAACAGTTTTTTCTACACAAAAACTACAACACTGAGAAAGGAACCTGCAGCCTGGATCATGCTCAAACTAAGTGCGATACTCTGTCCAGACAGACCATGGCGCTGATCAAGTCTGCCTTGCTTGGTGCACCTTCTAAGAGCAGATCTTTTAGAAGCTGGTGGCTGGGGCCAGGGATTTAGTTCAGTGGTGAAGTGCCTGCATCACAAGTGCAAGGTCCTGAGTTCGATTCCTAGTACGGGGGTGGGGCAAGCTAGTGGCTAAAGATTTCCACTGACCTGGGTTTTTTTTTCCTTCTTCTTTTCAGATTATCAAGGAAGTCCCTCCACCCCCTGTTGAGGAGAGTGAGGTAAGTGGCCAGAACAGGGCGCAGCCAGATGGGTAGAACAGAAGGGGACAAAAAGCTGGCTGGGCTACGGGAAGACTTAGCCCCCAGCTGAGCAGAGCCCCACTGTGTGTGGGGTAAATTTGCCACTTTCTCCAAACCATCATTGGTTCTAGGAATGGCCTAGTGCTAAAATATTCAGTATTTCTTTAATTTAAAACAGTATTACCTAAAACTTTGCCAGGCAGTAATAAAAATATACTGGAGGAGGATACGCTAATATCCTGGTCTCGCTCTCAAATCCTCATCATCTAAAGAAGAAAACAATCTCAGACTCTTACCATTAAACTGGCCAGTAAGCAGTTCTGAAGTAAGGGTGGCCTGGGTAGAATACAGTAGAGGCATTAAAGGCTAAACGTGAGAAAGATCCTCACTGGGTAGAAGTGCATAGCAACTGGCTTTCCTAGTCTGAGATAGCTGGACTCCCTAGAAGCAACGCTGACCAGTTTAGAAGCCAGAGTAGAGATCTGAAATGTTAGCAGCACTAAAATATGTAATGATTAGGTTTCAAGCTCTTACCTCAATCCCTAAAGTCTAGCTTTGTGTGCAAACCAAATTCAGCCCCCTCACTCATCCCTTTCCAATGTCTTTGTTAAGTTTCCTACATACAGAAAGGCAGATGATTAAATTTAAAATTTCTTGTGTCTCTTAAGTCCTGAACTATATACATATAAGCCAAGGGATTTAATGGCTGCAATCAATTAAAGCACATCTTGTTGGAATGCTAACTTTCTGCCCAGCAATCAAGAAAGGAAATTACATTGCTTTCCAAAGAGGAGGGAGACAAAACTCTCTTTACATCCACAAAAGCCTTTCCTAATCCTTCAAGAGAAGACACCACAGTGAGTTCCATGGTTCCAGTTTGGTTTTGCTTCTGTTATGTGCAGCTGTTTCTTAGACTCCCAAAGAAAAACAGAGGAAGAAGCTTCCTTAATGGGGCTGCTCTGTTGCCCGGCAGTGTAGAATATTCCCTCCTTCTCTTAGGTCCAGTTAGACTTGTTGCTCCTGCTTCTGAGACTTGCGCTGCCTCTGCCTTTAAAAGGTAATGTGGCAGCCACCATGACCACAATACGCCAGGGGATTCAGGTATGAGGCTGTAGAGGTTTCATTTACCCCAGATCCAGCAGCTGGCACAGGGTTCCACCCACAGCACAAGCTCAACAAATATTTGTATCATGTAGTATTATACACAACAACAAAACTTGGAGCCAAGAAAAAGAAAAGAATAGCTAAAAGTAAAGGAAGAGAAATACTTGAGCTTTCTTGGGTTTGTTGAATATTTTGATAAAGGTTGTACTTTCATCTGAAGAAGGAGAATTGGTTTCTAAAACAGAATGATAACCTCAGAATACTTGAGAACTGAAGGCTTCTGTGGCGTTTAAAGGATCCTCAAGGCTGGCCAGGGATGACTAGGGGGGATTCTGGGGACCTCACCATGTGTGTTGGCCCCCAACACACATGGCCCTGTGAGTTAGGCGGCCCTAATCTCCTTCCCAGTGTGTTTTGGCAGGTAAAAAGAAAGAAAAGAAATCTCATAGAAACAACATAATTTAGCCCATGCAGAGGATTTGATACAATACTCTGAATACAATAGTGAAACCCTGTCTCAAAAAAAAATTAAAAAGGGCTAGAGATGAATCTCAGTGGTACAGTGTCCTGGCATTTAATCTCTAATACTGAAAAAAAAAAACCATGAAGTTGTCTTCATTCTCCAAGTTTAGTTATTTATACATGTACACTGGACATTAGACATGCTTTCCTTAGGATGTGATGATTATAGAACTGATGAAAATTGGGTAATTAATACCTAACTTGCTCATATATATGGCAGAGAACACTTAACTTCATATAGCTATTGAGTGTTGGAAACTGTTGAACTCTTTGAAAGTAAGTCAAAGATTAACTAGGTATAGATCCTGACCTTCAAGTAGGTAATGGTTTTAAGCTTTGACGGAGAGGGAAGAGATAATGAAATACCCTGAGACTTCAGAGAAGGAAACAGGAGAAAGCAGGTCAATGGAAGGAATTACAGCATGTTTTGTAGAGCCAGCCACACAGGAGCTGAGCTCGTGGCGCTGGTGGGATATGAGCATGGGAGCTGGAGTGGAGAAAGGTTTGGAGTCAGAGCCCAAGCTGGCCCAGGCAGGCCTTGAACTTGCAATCCTCCTGCCTCAACCTCCCAAATCTCTGGGGTCACAGATGTGTGCCGCTGTGCCTGGCCTTGCCACTCTTCACAATGATCCTCTTTAATGAGGAATCCTCTTTGAAAGGGAACATCAAAAGGCATAACATAAAAACCCATGACTTTCTGAGATTCCAGTTAACCATCAGTGATTCACTTGTATAGTGGAGAGTATGAAGAGAGATGACCTGAAATTTGGAGATCTCAACAAAAGCAAGGAAACTCAATGTTAACAACTACAAGGGATTTTTCCTGGGTTAAGGGTCTTCCCTAACTGGTACCAGAGTGAGAATTCTTCACTATATCTCTATTCTAAATAATTGGCAATTTATGGGAAAATGCAAAACTGGAATGCTTCATCCAGTGGTTTCATTCTAAATGGAATCACCTTCCATGGATTCTCTAACTACATTTGAGTTTTTATCAGGCTCATTAGGCTGTAAAACAATCAATTAATAGTTTTACACATTATCTATTTTGATATTCTCTATTAAAGAAGATCACTGAGAGGTCATTATAAAGATTCATAAAGTCATATTCATTCTCTAAGTTTAGTTATATAGTAGGCAGGCCTCGGGATGTGATGGTAATAAAACCATCAGGAATATGACAGTAATTAATACTTAATTTGTTTATATAGATGGCAGAGAGGGGCTTTGACTTCATATAACTATTATTTTAATTGAGAACAGCTGAGCTATTAATTGAGCCCAAAGCAAGCTTTGTCTAAGATGAATGAACCCAGATAAACTCTGACTAGTGAAACAGCAGCAACTAAGGCAGCTCCAGGCACAAGCCTCCTTGTGGCCCTCTTCCTGCCCTCACTCCTAGCACTCTGCTTTCTGGGAATTTACTCCCTTGCTCTCTCTTACTGGCCTTCTCCATACTCTGGTAACTCTGGTTTCTGCAGACTCCTTCTGTTCTGACTACCTGGTGGCATTTCCCAGGCCTTCATTTCAGCTTCTGCTTCCAATAAATACAGGCTTAGTCTCTCAATTTCTACCTCCCTGTTACCACCAAGGGAATATCCTTGGCCTGATTTATCTTTTCACTCTGGACCATAGATAGATAGGCCATAGCCAAGCAATGGACTGGCTGCGTTTGGGTTGGATGCCCACTTCTGGTCCAGTAGCTGTAGCCAAAGAAAAGAGTCATATGCTTCCTAACAGGCCCCAACTCTCTAAGCATGGTAGGCACCAAGGCTTCTCTGGAAGCATGTTTTAATAAACTAAATGCAATCTAAATAAATATCAGAATATGAGCTACAGCCAGGAATCCATGCCATATTCCATTTCTACCTGCCATTCATACAGGTCCCAAAGAGTCTACTATCCCCAACTTCACACACATTTGAAAGAGAAAACATAACAGGAACCCCCATGACTGAATGGAAAGTTGGATATGGCTTTGCCCTAAGAAGCTAAAGAAGTCTCACACCTACATATAAAGTAAACATACTGGGAAAAAGAAGACTGTTATTCACATACATCTCTAACTGTATCATCAAATATAGAGCTCTCAGGAACACTTACAATTTTCTTAATCATCCTGCCAAGGCCAGACCCAGGCTGAACAGATTAATAGTACATTTCATTTGCTGAGGAAAAGCAAGCCAGTTTGTTCCTAAAATCTAGAGTTGCCCTCCCCATTCCTTTTAGAGCTCTCTGGTTTAAAAAATTAAATATGTCAGAAATAAACTGAAAAACTACCCAAACTAGAGACCTAGGCAATGAAAGTTTAAACATTGTACTTTTTAGCTTCAGGCAAATTAAGACCTTAGGCTCTGACTTGAGGACACTGAGAAAAATCAAACAGGATAGAAGTATAAAATGTTTGAGTAGCTGCCATGTTTGTAGGCACTTAAAATTCTTGTTCTCATTTGACAACTCCAGAATGTGTGCTTCAGCATACAGTGTGTGTTGAGATGGCAACTGAGATTCCATGCAGGAGTTTGTCTTAAGACAGGGTGTAACAGCAGGCTTATAAAGCTGATGACCTAACTGGTCCTCATCAGGGAGAAAGGGAGAGAGTCATAGCATACATTGCATCTAAGTCTGTCAAATTAATAATAATAGAGATAATAATATATAGATAACATTTATTACTATCCAGGCAACTAACATAAAAAAGTCTTGAATATTTCATTTCATCATTCAACAGCCCTAGAACAAAGATGTGCTATCATGATCCCCATTTTATACATGAAAAGCTGAGGTATAATGAGGTTAGATTAACTGCATTAACTTTCCATCATTATGACAAAATTTCTAAGATAGTCAATTTAAAAGAAGGAAAGGTTTATTTTAGCTCATGGTTTCAGAAGTTTCATTCCATAGTCACTTGGCTTGTCACTTTGAGCCTATGGCGGCACAATGCATCATGGAGGAAGCACATGGCAGGGAGGCCTGGTCATTGTTTGGAATGGAGAAGCAAAGAGGAGGAGCTAGGATCACAATATCCCCTTCAAGGGCACACCCCCAATGACCTAAATTCCTCCCACTAGGCCCCACCTCCTAAAGGTTTCACCACCTCCCAACAGCACTACAGTAAACAGTACCTCCTATACACATTTCTCTCTCTGTTTGGACACAAAACCCTAACCTACAGAAACCCCTCACCCACACACATACAATTCCAGAGAGGGGCATTCTAAAGCTTCTTGGTGATGTGAAAACATGAAAGAGAAGACAAACCAAGAAACATGGGCCCAAAGAGAACTAAAGAGCAGCCACACACTAGAGCATGGAAAGAGCACAGAAAACAAGTGGTCATCTTCATGTTAGTCTTAAAAGGGGCTGTGGGCCTTGTCTGAGTGCCACCTGGGCCTGGGTGGGGTGATACTGCCATTCAGGAAAGGAGCCCCTGAGGCACCTGGAGGTCTCATGGCTGGCTACAAGTGCTGCAGACTACTCAGACTCATGCAAGGAACAACTGCACTATGCTTCCCTGTGAGGTCCAAGTTCACAGCAAAGTCCTATCACTTAGTGTGATCTTGAATGATGTCTTAAACAATGGACAGAAGAAAGGAAAGAAGAGTTTTACAAGCATCCTGAATGTTGAAGCATGGGGCTGTACAAAAGCCTAGCAGGATTGGGAAAGATGGAAAGGTCAATGTCTGAGGACAGGACAGGAGTAATCCAATTCTGGGCTAACCAAATGGGTACATTAGACTTCATATTCATTCTATAGCTGTTTCTTCCTGAGCAGCACTGTGCCTGAGGGCATGCCCAGGTCTGCCTGAGGACAAGCAGGTCAGAAAGACCTGAAGAATGTGCTGCCACTTGTGTCACCAAACATCAGCCAACTGGATGTGTGCAGCCACCGCATCCTTTAACATTTAAACAAAACTTCCTATGATGGAAAACCAGCATCCCACCTGATCTCTGCGGTTCCTCCCAGGCATTGCTGACTTCTGCTCCTTGCTTCTTTTAGATACTATGTGGCAAACCCAATCTCTACATTCCCCAAGGCACTACTGGCGGGAGTACTGGCTTAAGTGTAGAGCTAGGTGACAACACAGGTCAGGCAATGAATACCTTCTGGCAGAATATTAGACAGGTTCTTTTCCATCCCTGTCTTTTCACTACTAGAAAGTTCTCAGGCCATCTCCCCAGGGGCACATTGCACCTCCGCATAGCTCAGTTTCACCATTTTCTGCTCACCACCTCCTGATTTGCTCATACAAAGCAACTTGACTTGCCAATTCTGTCCTCTAATAACCATGAAGTATATCAAAATTAAGTTTACAAAAAAAAAAATAGCTGAAGATATCCACTCCCCTCCTCCTTCAAGGGCAGTGCAGAAGGAAACTTTCCTCTTTCTTAAGAGGGTTTTTTCTTTAGATATAGAAATTCACCCTCAGGTACTGCTGATTGTTAGAGTAGACTTTCTGGGGTCTGTGATTTTACTTCAACAATTTTTGGCCAAATGAAAAGACACATCAAAGATTCCCTTCTCTTCCTAGGATTGCAAAACCCTCTATTCTGCAGGATGTGTAAACAGCCCCATGCTTACTGCAAGGAAACTCTGACTCTCCCGTTGGTCAAATCCTGGGCCCTCTGTGTTGAATTTTGCTGTTGTTTGAGGTTGGCAGACAAGCTCGGGTCAGGGACTAAAGGGCAGGCCTGGCGGATCAGGAGTGTGTGGAGCAACCCTCTTACGACTAGGCATTTCCTGTTGCGTGACCACAGCCCTGAGCACGAATGGGGCTGACCCACCCTCCTGCCTGAGCCCCGCCCACTTGACGGGGGTGCAAGGAAGCCTGGAAAGGATGGAAACCAATTTTATGTCTTATAACTAAGCACTCACAAAGTTTGAAAATTAGCAAATTGTAAATTGTAATTCATTCTTTAAAATTAAGTTCTTAAAGTATGGGGGTGGGAGCAGCTGGTCAGTGGCTGGATAAGGAATCAGGAAACCACAGGAGAAGCTCACCCTCACTGGTTGTTTTATTGCTCTGGGTCTGACATTCCTTTTCTATGCAATGAAAAGGCCTAATTAGATGGTCTCTAGTGTTGGCCCTCCTGTAATTAAAAAAAAGAAGAAGAAAAAGATGAAGACTCCTGAGGCCATTTTGGACCCCTACTGAATAAAGCAGCTTTATTCTTGCTGTTTTTTATATTCCTGCTGCTGCCGCATTTGGTTTTAATGGATGAAACTTCCTTTATCTCCTTTGGAAAATCGTCCTAACCCAGGGATGTCCAGGCTTTGTGGAGTCATATTTCATGTATCTATGTGCACAGATGTTCGCCTAATCCACTTCTTGTGGTAACATGGGACCATATGTGTAAGATATATATGGTTCTTACTTTCACCCCGTGAGGTGAAATAAATCTGGATTTAAATCATAATGAGACTCTGAACTAGCATTGTTTTTAAGGTTTTGGTTTTATCTTGTCATATCATGTAATCATAAATCATCACAATTATCAGATACAAGGAATGAGAAGTAGAAAAATGACATTTATCTGATACCATCAAAGGACTTAGCAAAGCAAAAAACCTGCCAGTGAAGCTGTCTGAGTCCAAATCCAGCTCTGCCATACACAAACTGAGTGACCAAAGTCATGATCTCACTACTCCAGGCCTCTAAAATGGAAATAACAATGCTGCCTTCCTCACTGGCTGGTTGTAATGTTAAACAGTTAATACATGTGAGCACTCAGAAGAGTGGCTGGCATATCAGCATTAAAGGCTCCATGAATTCAATGGTGCAGTTACCATGAGTTGAGCATGTACTATCCACTCAGAATACAAGGGTCAAAAAATCCATTCAGCCTTCAGAGGTCACAGTCCCATAGGGAAGAACAGATCTGTTTAGAGACAGAGGAGAGCACCAAGTGTCAGATGCCAGAATATTATAAATCTAGTTTGCGGTGATCACACTGTGTTTTAAGATATATATGATTTTTAAGTTTTTAAGAAGCCTGCCTATCCTAAGCACAGCACTTGACTCCAGGAGCCTACTGTGGAGGACAGATTGTGCCCCAGTAAGAGGATAGCAGAAAATCCAGGTAGGAGGCCTCCATGATGTCCAGGAGAAAGCTGATGTGAGTTTGGGCTTAGGGTGGCAGAGATGGAGCTAGAAGTGGAAAAGTCAGTGCATTTGGGATCAAGTAGAAGTAGGGGCAGCAGAAGCTGCTGGCAAATTGGGTGTAGGAGAAAGGAACAGGAGAGAGGGAAGATTCAAAAATGACTCCAGGTGATGGGAAAGACTACAAGAAGAACAGGTTGGAGTGGGGAAATCTGGACTTTCCTTTGCAGAGGTGTTGCTGAGATGCGTATTAGCTCTCAAGAGAAGACATGAATGTCAAGACTCCAATTGGAGTTTTGAGGAGTCAGAGCTGATGATACAAATTCAATAAATTATAATATGTAGGTGGGGTTAGATGAGATCTCCTATGTCTTAGTCCGTGGTGGTGAACCTGTTGTGCCCAGATCACCAAGTCCCCAAAGACCACCAAGGAGCCGATTCCGATGCAAACTCACGAGGGTCGTTTATTCAAGCTCGAGCAGGGGCTCTCTACTGTCACCAACGCAGCTGGTCAAGATTGAGAGCCCCGCATTTCAAATTAGCGGGGGTTTTACTAAAGTTACAGCAAGGTTTGGGGATTTTCCATTTAGCAATCACAGGATTGGTTGGCATTTAGCAAGCATGAAGTGTATACTTCTGATTGGCTAGGCCCATTGGGGGTTGAGGGGTGATTACATATAGGTTTTACGAGGGAAAAGAGGGACAAAAGTTAGTGGCTGACTGTCAAGTACTGGCAGTCAGTAGACACAATGGCTAATGGTCACGACCCTTACGTACTGACAGTCAGCACATCTACAGATTGTTCTATGGATAGGGGGCCCCAGAACGTTCATTTCCTGGGCAAACAGATGGCTGAGTAATTAATTTAGGAACTTTGGTTTGTTACAGATTGTATCTTCTGTCCCAGAGCAAACACATTTTAACCATTAATTTGAGAGGCTAGGGGAATGGTGGATTTTAGCAAAATGGAGTCGCTTTGGTCTCACAAACCTATGGCACATATGCTGCAGTGGCCACGCAGAGCCCTCTCTGCTGGCACGAGAGTGAAGTTGCCCCAGCAGCCAAGCACTGGATATTCAGGTTTAATTGCAGTATTGGCACTTTGTGATAAATAAGTGGGTTTTGGGTTGCAGTTTGGCCACTCACTCTCTAAAATGTTCTCCATTACTGCATTATGGTATGTAGATGGAATTAGATGAGATCTCCTGTGTCTTAAGACTGTTTCCTGCTGCTATAATAGAATACCTGAGAGTGGACAGTTTATAAAGAAAAGACATTTATTTCTCACAGTTCTGGAGATTTATGGTTCTGGAAAGTGCAAAGTCAGGGGCTCATATCTGGCCAGGGCCTTTTTGCTAATCATCCCATGGCAGAAGGTGAAAAAACAAGGGAACATGTGCAAAAGACTACAGTAAAGCAAAAGTAGGCCATCTCACTGTTATAACAAAACTGCTCTTATGATAATTTTAACCCAGCCCAGAGATAACAACATTAATCCATTAGTGAGGGCAGAGCGCAAGTGACCTAATCACGTCTTATTAACTCCCACCTCCCAGCACTGTTGCATTGTTGACTATGCTTCCAATGCATGAATTTTGGAGGACACATTCAAACCCAAGCACCTTACATAGGAATAGGAAAATAGAGAACAGGTCCCAGGATTATGCCACAACCTTACCTGGTAGTATTGCTTTTATTTCCACTTCAGAGATAGATAAATAAAATGTTCTTGGATAGATTACATGACTTGCCCAAGGTCCCAGGGAGCAGTGGCATTGGGATTTAACTACAGCAGTCTGGCTGTACAAGCTCTGCTCCTGTCCACTTCGCATACACACAGCCAAGGCACTTTGTCCTTCATGTGTCACAATCTCTCGGCAGGAAGAAGACGATGATGGTCTGCCTAAGAAAAAGTGGCCCACGGTAGATGCCTCTTATTATGGTGGACGAGGCGTTGGAGGCATTAAAAGGATGGAGGTAAGAGAACAGCCTAACAGACACTTATCTTTGTGATGACTATTCCCGAAGCAGATGGTGGCAATCCATGCTTGAAGTCTGGAGGAGATGTGGAATTTGAGGCAGAAAGGTGGAAAGTGGGAGGTACAGCCTTTTAACTGTGCACCTCATATCTTGCCTACCATTAGCCAGGACAGGTCATTTGTGTGCTCAAATCCCTCAGTGGTTTCTATTCTTACAGGAATAAAATCCAGAGTTCTTACCTAACCCTACAGTGCTTATATGCATCAAGCAGCTCCCTGCTGCCTGGACATTTCCTCCCCAAAATATCTGTTTACATGGCCTGCTCTCTCTGTGCCTTCCACCCTCTGCCTTTTCTTTTCTCCACACTCCTCTTCCCTGGCCCTCAAAACCCAAAGGAATTGTGGATTAGTTCCTTGCACATCAGACATGTATTTGTCATTCCCATTCTTGTGTGGCCTATTTTATTTTGTCATGTTATTTTATTACATTGAATTTATTTTAGGTTCGTTGGGGAGAAAAAGGCTCCACAGAAGAAGGTGCTAAGCTGGAAAAGGCCAAAAATGCAAGGGTAAAAATGCCTGAGCAGGAGTACGAATTCCCTGAGCCTCGAAATCTCAACAACAATATTCGACGGCCCTCTTCCCCCCGGAAGTGGTACTCTCCGATCAAGGTGTGTCCCTCTCTACCCAAAAAATCCCTCTGGGGCTCATTCTTCCTGGCTGAGAGCAAATTTTTATTCTCCACCACCTCTCTTCCTTTCACATCTCTAGCCTTTAAAATCCTCTTTGGATCCTGGCCTAGTGCACCTGTAATCCCAGCACTCTAGGCGGCTGAGGCAGAAGGATCACAAGTTACAGCCCAGCCTGAGCAACTTAGCTGCTTGACCCTGTCTCAAAATAGAAAATAAAAAGGACTGGGAGATGTAGCTCAGTGCAGAGGCCCTAGGTTTAATCCCCAGTACAAAGAAAAGAAAAGATAAGACAAGAAACAAGAAAACAAAAGAAAAACACCTTTTTGGCTTCTTCAGAAGTTTAAGACTAAGGAGGTGGCTAATGCTTTTTAAAGTCCACTTTTCTGATCTTCTTGAGGCCAAATGGCTTTGGATTTCTGTGAGTGCCGCAGCATCCCCTCTTCAGCCTTTCCCTTAGACATCTGCATTGTTCCAGTTATCAGAAAGCCCTAGAAAATCATAGCTGAAAAGACTCTGGGGAGAATCTGTCTCCACTCCTTCATTTCTCATCTCACACAGTAGAAACTGAAATAGGCAGAGATCTTGCTCTGCTGGGATCTGGAACTCAAGGCCCCAACACAGGACCACAGCTTCCAGCTCAATGGGCAAACAGAAAGGGGCCCCCTCCCACCCTCAGGTGAAAGGCTGAGTATGAGAGCCAGCTCCCAGTGCCACACCACACACACGAACAGCCTTACCCCACCTCCAATGGCAACAAAAATGATTTGTGTCATTCACTGAGCTACTTGCTAATTGTAGAGCAGCCCTTTTCCTACAAACATCAAAAGAAATACCATCTCAAACAGTGGAGTGAAACGTTACTGATAGGCATCTTCTCCTGGTAGAGCTAGCTCAGGCTTACAGGAAGTGCAACGAATTTCCATTTTGGTTGGCCATGTTTAAAGCAAGGAGATTCTTAAGATAACCTACCCTGAGGCAATGGTGAACTCAGAAGCTGTGGACTAAGCGTAGCTTACTTGAGTAACAGATGTTTGCTCCTAGTGCTTTTCTAATGGGAAACATGCAGTGGCGTGCATACATGCGCAGACAGAAGGAGCCAAGTAGATTCTCAGAGATGAAGAAGAAAGGGGATTTTCTATTTTGTCATTTTTAGGAATCAGTACCTTGTGCCTAACACTTCTTTGATTGCTGCTAAGTTTTCAGTTTTGTAATCATGGAGGTTGGGAGAATATTAATTCTGTTTGTAGAATCCAGTTTCTTCTTGAGAGCCTGTTTGTTATTACTTTATTAACTGGTGGTTTAAAACTTACAGTAGTTTCATGAAATAAAGAAGGATATGGACAAATATACTTAGAAATCAGAAAACATTCCCAACGCTCACTTGGAATTACTTCCAACTCAATGAGTATTTGTCATGCACCTACTATGTGCCAAGCACATCAAATATTGAATATACAGAGGTCCTCAAACCTGACTGAGTATCAGAATCACCTGGAAGTGCTTTTAAAATACAGATTCCCAGGCCTAGTGGCTCTGAGCCTCTCAAAAGACTTCTAAAAGCACACTGGCTCTTACAGCTAACTTGTCCGTTTTTTCTCATCCAGGGAAACTTCTTTTACTCTTCAATGCCTTCTTTTTCAGATTTTACATCCAAGCTCCTCAGTGATACTCCTCTGTTGCCCACTGACCACTTCCTTCACAGTCCTGCTCTTGAACTTCTTCCCTGGGCATTGTATTAAACTATTGCTCCTCAAAGATAACAATATACTGGGGCTACACCCAAGATCCATTGAATCAGAAACTCCAACGGCAGGATCCAGCCATCTGGACTTTAATAAGTCCAGTTGAGAAATTGTCACCCAAGGTTTCTGCCAGCATTCCACAGTGGGGGTCTCAGATGGCAGGAACCGTGGTTCCTATTGTTAAGATAGGCAACTAGGACATGTCCATATTTTGGGGATTTGTCAGGAATCTCAGCAAGGAGACCAACATCAGATTTCACATTAGGGCTATTTTTACCACCAACACAAATGCTGGATTAATATTAAGTGATTGGGAATCTGGGTGTCATGAAGTCACCTAAAAAGATAGGAGAGATGTCTGGAATCTGGTGGATTTGCAGAACCCTTCAGCAGGACTTCCTTGTTAGGGCATGAGAAGGCATGACTGTGCCTCGTGCCTGGTACTACAGCTAATGCCAGCACTTAGTCACTCTTTGCTAGGTGTATGAACAGCCAATGGTGTGATGACTCATGTTTAGGAGCCTTCTCTCCACCAGGTTTCAACCCCTGCTGACATCAAGTATGCTTTGAAGGCTCTATAAACAGCATTGCAAATGCAACCCTTGCACCTGGCACAGGGGAGGCCTCAGCCATCTCTTGTTGAAGAGCCGAGGCATGGGATATAATGCCCATCGGACCACACAGCTCACACTGGTAACCACTGTTCAAGAAGGTGATCTCCTCGCCATCTCTGAGGAGTGGAGAGAAAAACAGGTCATCCGATGGGTATCTGGGCCAGGTCCATGAGGACAGGTGGGAACAAGAAGAACAGAAGTACAGAAAGGAATTCAAAAGTAATATTGTATACTTTTTATCCAGAGGAAAGGCAGATGTGCCACCAGAACTTCATCCCTCATGCACTTCAATGAGACACATAATCCCTACTGAGCCCCATTCTAGCTACAAAGCCTGTAAACATTTACTAGGCCTCGGACTAAACATCAGGATTCATTTGGTACCATAAACTCTGCTGCCCCTTCCTGAGCCTTCATATATCACACAGTCCTGTGTTGAAACAGAAGGCACACTCCAAAGAGTTGTACTTACAGAGGGTGGACAGTGTTAAGGGGCCCACAGAGGCGGTGAGGCACCCAGGGACTAGCAACAGTGAGGGCTGTTACATCCCTAGACCTACAGGGCAAGGGAAATGGTGGCACTAAAGCCCAGTGAGAGGCACAGTGCTGGAGAAAAGACCTGTGGACTGGGGCCATGGGGCAGGAGTCAGGATTGGAATCCTCCCTTCCACCTGTGTTTATATGGCCCACAAGCAAAAGGTGCTTTTCACATTTTTAAACAGTTGTGTTTTAAATGGTTATATAATTACTTATATAATACCCTCCATTTCTTTTGACCTGCAGAGCCTACTGTCTTTACTCTCTGGCCCTTTCTAGAAAATGTTTGCAGACTACTGCACTATAGGAATGTGACCATTGCTGGGGAAAGGAAGACAGGGAGGAAGCAGAAGGAACAAATACCCCAACTTGCCCTCATCCTGCTCCCTCGCCTCCTTCTGGTACCACCTATTGGCCAACAGGAAGCCAACTGGTATAGAAGCAGACTTCCAAGGCTAGGCATAAAGGAAGCAGAGAAATACAGACAATGACGGAGTCAAGCAGCACATGGAGAATCATCTGTCCACACTGTGCCTATCTTCCATCCCTGATCTAAACAGGGAGAGAAGCTCCACCTAGCACAAAACTTTCAGCAGGTCCTGGGAAAACTCCTTGCTCTCCAGCAAGTGTGGCCAGAATTATATACCTATTTAAGTGGATTGCAACAGAGTCACTTTTTATCATGCATTCCGTGAAATAGAGTTTAGAAAATGTACCCAGTGGGAGCCCAGGGAGGGAAGAGGTCCACAATGGTCTCTTTTCCACCCACTAGCCCCCAGCCTAATTTAAGGCAGTGACCACTCCAACCACGCTTCTCCCTAACCTTATTCCAGGCCCACGATCAGGAAAATTTCCCTGATATTTAACCTGCATTTTTCTTTGCTCAGTTTTCACCCCCCAGATTTGCAATACTCCTTGCTTCTCATTAAATTAGAACTGACCATTTCAGACAAGTTAAGTCATACTCAGATATATGGTTACCAGATAGATTAAAACCAGAACTGATGGCAAGTTGAACAGAAGGCTTGCAGCCTTTTGCTTCTTTTCCAGTAGCTCTTCCTCATGACCAAAGTGACAGAAGTGACAGCTGACAGACAAAAACCAGACCCTGGATCGTCAGGCAGGTGACCTGGTCCCTGAAAGAGAAACAGACAGTGAGGGGCAGAGTTGGCCTGTCCCACTTGTAGGGTTGAAGAGGAGGGTGGTCTTCTGTATCTTTCCTGTAGGGCCCCCTGTCATCTTTGGCCTTAAACACCTTGACCTTAGAGTCAAGCAGCATTCAGTCATGACTCTGTGCTGGATTGAAGCCATATAGAGCCAAGCAAAACAAACTAGAGCAGCAACTTTTGTCAGATGTGCTTTTGAGATTAAACAGATTTCCTCCTTCTCCAGCTACTTTTTAGAATGGTTCCAAACTTTTCTTGAAGAACAAATAAAAGAAGAAATTTTTAAAAAGTTATGCTGTGTGTAGGGTAAGCTTCCAACCTTATTCATTAATTTAAGTTCATTAAATTTATTCATTAATTTCATTTAAGGCAAGTGTGGGTTCACAGTATCTACTATATATTTCAGAGTACACAAATTCAGGTGTCAGTCCCTGTAAGTTGAACTGCCCTCAAACTTTTCAATTTCTGACTTCCAACTAGCTAAAGCCAACAAGTAGGAAGACACAGCTGCTGCCTGGCTGGAGGAAAAAAAACCAGAAACCCAGCCACAACACTCGTGGGCCAGGGTGCTTTGAGTGATGACCGCAGAAACATTCCCAGTCTTATTGTGCAGAAGGAAGCAAAAAGCTAGTATTTACATAGAACATCCAGTTTGTCTATCTTTGCAGATTCAAATTATTGCCTGAGGCTGACTGAGATATAGTTTAGGAGCCTGGAATTGGTAAATTTCTCTCTTTTTTTTTTTTTTTAACTATTTTACAGTCAAATTGTGTCAGCTTCATATGGTAAAAAGCTATTTTTAAATGCCAGCTACTACATTCTGGCAGAGGTTTCTGAGGTTTGTGGAGAAATCTCTGTTTTAGCTTCTCAGGAGCAGTTCAGCATTTCACCAGAGAGTAAGGATCAGGGTCTAGATTCATCATGCAGGGAGGCTTCTGCATGCTGGACACCCAAATATGAGAAAAATAGAGTTGCCTCAACAGGAAAATCTTCTCCCGGGCCTTAGAGAAAGCCTAAGGAGCTGTGGGAAGAATCTCTGAGATCCTTTTGGCCTCAAAGGGATATTATAAATAGACCCTTTTGCTACTGTCTTTAAATAACAGCCTTCTGCCTACATTCAGAAAATCTAGGCTCCAAGAGCCTCCATCATGGACTTCTTTTTAACATTAGACAGTTGGGGTTTTTTTTAGTCCTCATCTTGGTCAGTTGTAACCATTCTTTTTCTAAAGCTTTCTTTAACACTTGCCTTAAAAGCTACCTGATAGAGGAGTCAGAAGAGCTATGTAGATTACTCAGATAGTTTTCTGTGCCACAGATTGGGAACTTTAGGTTTATTTTGGAACAGTCAGAACTCAAAACATCTAGGATACAATGGAACCAGTCTTGCCTTGGCCAGAAATGCCAATGACAACAGCTCACCTGGGTGAAACACACACAGCAAGTCAGTCTAGATCTCAAGTGCTAACAAGTTGTTTATTTCTCATAAACAACCCTCAAAAGTAGAAACTCCTCCCATTTATAAATGGAAGATCCAAGACAGAAAGAGATAATTTGCCCAAAGTCACACTGCTAGTATGATGGTTCATGTTGATTTTATTGACTTCAATACATCCATTAGGGCTAGCAATTAAACCTGACATCAATCAATAAACAGAGAGAGGACAGGGAGCCTGGAGGTAAAAGACTACTGGAAACTCTTCACAGGATGAGCCTAGGCCAAAGGAGGAGCCTGGAACAAAGCAGGAGCCATAGAGCCAGTGGGGCCAGGCTGGGCAGGGAGAGGTGACAGGAGAACTACTACAGAGAGACCATCCCCGAGATGTGCTTGGTGTTGACCATGAGGAAATAACAAAGAGGAGAGGTTAAAGTGATCTGGGGTCAGGTTGTGCAAAAGAGGAGCACCTTTGGGGAGAAGAGAGTTCATTTAATTTGTGATGTTTGGCTTTTGATACCTGTGATACATCAACCTTAAAATTAAGATTCAATGAGTTACTGAACATCCACTTCTGAGCTCAAGAGAGAACCAAGCTGAAGACAGAATTTGTGAGCTATGAGATAAGATCAGAACACTCAACCCAAGGGAGCCAAAGAAGCTGAAGTTTCTCACCAGAGAGCCAAGAGGGAAGAGCCCAAGGCTATTTGTCCAGAAGAGAGAGCTCAGCACAGCAGATCACTTAAATAGACCATGTGAAATAAATGTCTGAGTGTTTAGCAATCAAGATGCCAAGGGTGGCCTTAGCAAGAGCAGCTTTGGTGGAGGGATTGAAGCAGAAGCCCAGTGGGCACCATGAAGAAGGATAAAATTGCAGGCTGGGAGAAAGGGATTTGAAGAACATAGAGGATGGGCAGATATGTCTTACAAATTTTAATTTATTGGGTTGTTACACCCTGTATTAGTTCTCTTCTAATCTTTCTATGGAGCTGCCCAAATTATCGTTTTAATGACTTTACTATGATCACAGATAACATGTAATGAGTGCTGTCTTTGAGACAAGAACCTAACTTTAATATTTAGTTTTAGATCTTATAAGTCTATAATGTACTATTATCTCTATTGTAATGAGAAAAGTAAGGCTTGGGAAGATGAAATACCATATCCAAGCATGTCCAGGTGGTGTGTACTTTCATGAGGAAACTCAACTACAGACTCAGGCTGTCTGACTTCAGTACTGTTTGCTTAAACTCTGCACCATGGTATGTTACCACAAAGGAGCACAATTTACTACCTTTCTCCTGTGTCTATGCACCTAGGCTCTTTTTCTGTGCATGTAGCTTTAAATTTCTGCTGCGTGAATTAATATACTTCTTTACCAACCACATTTTTAGCACCCTCTCCTTGCTCCTTATTTGTCAAGTTGGATGATTAAGACACACAACGATGTGGGTGGGCTGATTTACAAAGCCAAATACTGGGAGTCCCTCCATCCTCCTCAAAAAAAGAAAAAAGAAAAAAGAAAAAAAGGAAGGGAGAGAAGGCATTCATCCAGGAAATCCACCTGGTTATATCTTGAACTGTAAATGCTTATCCCAAAGAACCTTAAAGAAAAACATTTAGCTGATGATTGAAACCATTTAATGTAGAAAACCATGCTGAACACAGCAGTAGTTCTATCCACCATTCTAAGTCATTTCAAAATATTTTCAAAGGCTTTTGTGAATTCCTTTCCAAAGGAGATGAGAAACACCACACTTGGCAAGATAAAGTTTAACCCACAGATGCTCACACAACAGTTGACAAAGATTCAAGAAAACAGTATACACCCAGACATGCACACACTCATACATACACAGCTGAAACAAAATTTTTCAGTAAATAATACTTATCTTCACCATGTACTATTACCCCCAACATTTTCCTTCTGTTCTGTTTTATTTTTTTAAATTCTAAATCCAACACACAAAATTGGTCTCATGAAGTTTAAAGAGCTGCATCCCACAGTTTAGAAGCCCTATTCCAAGGCTCTGCATGAAAGCCCTAAAGCCAGAAGATTTGCATGAGGACAACTCTGCAGATGGTGTAATGGAAAGTATATGAGCTTTCCAGTTAGACAGACATGGGTTCCAATCACAACTCTAGTTTTCAGGCTGTATGCCTTTGGGCAATTTGCTTGATCACTCTGGCACTCCATTTCCTCCTTGCCACTTTTCAGGACTGTTGAGAGAATGAAATAAGAGGACCTATGTGAAAGCACCTAGCACTTAGGAGCATCCATCACCAAGTGAGCACCTATTGAGCTCCACATGCTGTTTTCAGGGCTGGGCTTATAGCAGAAAACAAAATCAATGATTGTTCAGCTTCCCTGCAGCTGGCATTCCAGTGAGCAGAGACAGCAGATAAGGGAATTAAACATAAATATGTCAGGGAATGATAAGGGCTGTATTGGTTTCCTATCATTGCTGTAACAAAGTACCACAAACTTAGAGGCTTAACACTGAGCAAATTTATTGTCTTACAGTTCTAGAGGTCAGAAACCCAAACAGGGCCTCATTGAGCTGAAATCAAGGTGTTGGTGGGGCTATGTTCTTTTTGGAGGTTCAGGCGAGAATTTACTTCTTTGTCCTTTCCAAATTCTGGAGGCTGCCCACACTTATTGGCTTGTGCCTCCTTTCATTTCCGAAGCCAGCCGCATTGGCTTGAGTCCTTCACACAACGAACTTCTTTGGCTCTGCTTCTGTCAGCATGTCTTCTCTGACTCTGATGTTCTTGGCTCCCTCTGTAAAGAACCCATATGGTTAGATCGGGCCTACCTGGATGATCCAGGCTATCAACACCTTTCATTTAACCACATCTACAAAGTCCTTTTTGCCATAGAAGGTAACATATCCATCAGGTTCCAGGGAGTAGGGGTCAGTTTTAGGGGTACATTCTTCTCAGTCATCTATGGTGTTTGTCTCTGGAGCCTGGGCCTACAGAGTAGCTGAAGAGTGAGCCTAGCACACAGCCAGAGGTTTGCATCCCAGAGGCCTTTCATTGACTTTTTGTCCTTTCAAGAGGACAAGGGGACTGGGGATTTAGCTCAGTGGTTCTGTCACTTGCCTCGAAAGTGCAACGATGGAGTTCGATCCCCCGTACCAAAAAAAAAAAAAGGACAAGGAATTTTCCCAAATTTGTCACTTTGTCTTCATTTATGAACTCTGAGCACCAGATGGGAAGAAGAAACATTAGTGAAAGTTGAAAGGATTGTCTTGTGGTGTAAAGATATGCGCAGAAATGTGGTATGGACAAAAGCCAAGTGGCTGAATGAACTTCCTGTTTGCAAATTCAGAGCTGCATTCAGGTCTCAGGTGTATCTTTCATGAGCACCAAGGTCCTCGGTGTGTACCTCTTCTCCTACATTTATGCAGCTTGAATTTTGTGTTTACAGACGGAAGATCACTCATCCTGTCACAACCCTGTTCCCAGTGCTGTACTATTTATTAACAAGGTGGAAGAATTATGGAAAGCTTGTGTGTCTACAGTGCCTGGCTACTGACCTGGTTTCATATGTAATCTTGGTGCCTTTGTTTTTTTTCAGGGAAAACTTGATGCCTTGTGGGTCCTACTAAGGAAAGGATATGATCGTGTGTCTGTGATGCGGCCGCAGCCAGGAGACACGGTAGGACAGCTTCATGGACACATGCACGCGCATGCACGCGCGCGCACACACACACACACACACACACACTCTCTCTTTCTCTCTTTCTCTGTCTTGGTAGAGCTATGGTAACTCCAAATACACAAATCCAGCCATTACTTTATGTTGTTACAAATCAGATACTAATTTTCAAATTTCTGCTTGTCACAAGACCTTGAGTTCTTATTTGATTCTCAAATGGAGTTTCATAGAAAAATACTAAGCTTCTCAATTTAGAGGTACAGAAAGTACTAGAACAGGGCTAGGTCAACCTTTGGGCAGTCCCAGGAGGGAGCCCTTCCAGTGCTTGGCCACACTGCCCAGTGGCAAGGAACAGAATGCCAGTACCAGAAGGTCAGGATGAAGGAATAAAGAGCCACAGAGAACTCTTACCATCTTCCAGCAAGAGTAAAGCCCGACCATCCAGGACTATAGGAGAATATTCTATCTTGGGTGAGGGTTTGTCTAGGAACTGCCAGAGCTAAGTGTGCAGTGTCTGTAATCAGGAGAAGTTATAGATGTGGAACCCACGAAGACCTTTGAGGCCATCTACCCCATGTCTGCATTTTTTGTAAATGAGGAAACAGACAAGGCAAGCTGAATAATTTATTCTGGTTCACAAAGCGACACTGCTATTTCTTCTTTTCAGAGCTAGACCCTCTTCCACAGTTTTTGCAGAGCAAGGCATGATATCAAATTCTCCTTCAATTACCAGCAACCTGTGTCTTCCATTCACTTTCACTTCTTTGGGTATCAGAACCATTTATCCAAAAGCAAAAGGTGTCTAATTTAGAGGGTTTTTTCAAATCAGGCAGACTTTGTTATGAATATCATTTCCTTCCTGGCTGGAAAACTTTAGGAAAGCAACCTAACCTCTCTATTTCATCTTTATAAAGTAGATGGCAAAAATTCCAAAATGTGCCTAGTAGAAGATGCTAATATTTGTAAAACATTTGGCCTGGTATTGAACACAGAATAATTCTCAATCAATGGCAAATATTACTGTGATTATGTACTATATGCTTTTCTACTGTCTGTGAATGGTTGGTGCAAAAATTCAAGACGTATTGCAACTGGTGTGTATTTGATACACTACATCTTTGCCTTGCTCATTCTCCAACATCACATTTCTACCACACACTAGCAGAACCTGATAGACAGGCCCTGGTGCTACATTTGCTTTGCATCTGGTGACAGTGGGCAATTTGTGACTGGGGGAATTAATCTTAAGTTTCATAGCTTGTGAGAGCTACTACCCATTTAGCGCTTGCTTCAAGTTGTCCCTGGGACAGCAGGTAAGTGTGTTGTGATACCAAGTCATATAAATGTTGGATCAGCTTTGCTCTTATGGCATATGGAATTTTTTATGTGAAAGTCAACAGGAATGAATTTCTATAGAAAATTTTAAAGTAAAAGTTGTACAGTTACAGAAATGAATCCAGGCTACAAAGTTAGTATTCAGGAAAGTATTTGGTATTTTAAATTATGCATTTAGTTTCTGTGGAAAATGAAAGGTTTTAAGCATTCATGACACTTATCTAACAGATTTTTTAAAAATAATAATGTAGGGTTCAGTTGCACTATTTTGTGACAGAATGTACTGATATAATGTACAATCCTTTTTTTTTCTGAGCAACTAAAGAACATCTCCACTAAAAATATGTTAACATTCCATTCTCAATTGATTAGTTTGGCAGAAACAAATTCATAAACTAAGTCAATCTAAGAAGTGGGAGGGGTGAAAGAAAAAGAAAAAGCTGAAAGAAAGATCATTTATATTCATGTTTAGGGCACAAGGCTGGTTGTATAAGTCCAAGAATAATGGAATAAAAACTGATGGAATTTCCTTTAATCTATCACACCTAAATTGGATATCTTATTTACTAATTCTGAATGAAAGCTTGTATTGGCTTTTAAGGATGTGAAGGTGTTCCATATGCTTTTGAAAAACACAGTACCACTGTGAACTTCCACTCCCAATCACACAAAATAATAAATTTGAAGTACAGGACATGTAAGAATTAGGATACATTTGAACATATTCTCAGCTTTTTCAAATTCCAACTGTCCAGTTTTTATTGGTTTTTCTTTGCAGAAATTCTGCTAAAATTGCATGATACATGGGAGAAAACAGAAACAGAGAATTGTGTCCTTATCGTCATGGTAATGGCCACACACTTCTCCATGTACACATAGAGCTACACAGGAAGAGTCACAGACTGGAGGGGAGGTGCAATCCAGAGCTGTCATATGACTTCTCAGGAGAGGATTCCGAGGGCATCTGCGGGCAGGCAGGACTATTACAGCCTGGTCCACATGCTTCCTCTGTTTTGTTATGCATACCCTTAGCAGACTCACTACAGACCTACACCTCTTGCCCAGTATTAACTGTAAGAATTCCTCAGCCCTGATTTATGAGGCTGACCACATTTTCCATAAACTCAACATGACTCCATCCAGACATGTGCTTGGGAACAAGAGTCACAGGTTCTGGATTTTTCCTTTAAGACAAAACAAAAACAAAAACCACCAGTTATGCTCTCAGTTACATTCTGAATTGCTTCAAACATATGTTGACCTCACAGAAACCTGGCAATTCTTCCACCTTAGCTCCTGCCTGCTCCATCCTTCTCCCAACTAACACACTCCAGAAGCAGGCACAGCCCACAACAAGGCCTCTGGAGCTGCTGAAAAGCCTGACTCCTCCAGCCCCACCGCAGAGCATAGGGTTGCTGGAGGCCTGAGCCCAGAGCCACCGCCCTTCCCTCAAATTGGTGCCCCACCTCCTCAGAGCTATCCACACCCCACATCAGAGAAAACATGAATTGGATGACAGCCGGAGATGTGGCTGCTTCCCCTCTGCTGTCACCTGTCTTCCTCTTCCTGCTTGCGGTGGGCTCACAATCCCATTGTTCCTTGGAGCACACCAAGAAATCCCTGCTGACATAAAAGAAAAGATGCCAAAAGAAACCACCTAACTAGCAAACTAGAAACATATCTGATCCTAAAATCTGAAAGTTCACTAAACCTATGGTGTCCTTTGTCATATTAAACTAGAAGTTCTAATTCTATTAAACTAGAAACCATAGATAATAATGTCATAGCAAACCAAAACAATACCTTGAAGTGTAGAAGGTGACTTGGATTTACTCTGGGTCCTTACAGTGAACAGAAGTAGCACTACAGGTTGAATCCCAGGGAAGCAGATTTCATCTGAAGGAACTAGAAGATAAGAGTTTTAATAACAGAACGGGTTGCTGCCCCAGTAAACAACATCACTATGCACGGATAACATAAGTTAATCTATATGGCCAGGATGTAGTGAGAGAGACCCATAATAGGTCAGTGGTTCTGAAACTTAAGCATCAGAACCACCTAGAAGGCCTGTTAGAACACAGCATGTAGGGTCCACCCTCAGTTTCTGATTTGGGGTGGGCCTGGGAATTAGCATATCTGATGAGCTTCTGAGTGGTGCCCATACTGCTGACCTGGGCACTGTACTTTAAAGAACCAGTGAGATAAAGTGAACAAGATGGCAATACAAGCCCCTCTAACTCTGAGAGTTTGGGTTCTAAGTCAATACGTTCATAAGTATTTGACCACCAAGTCATTGCTCCCCTGTATCTTTCCACAGAGCACACAATTGAAGAATAACTAGTTTAGCTTAAATGTAAATATTCAGCCCCGGTGAGTTGTAGAGAAGCCCTTTCCATTTGTAGACAGTCCTGTTCCTACATTACTAATTTCAAACCCAGAAAGGTAAGGAAATTCAGAAATCACAGTTCATGGAATCTAGTGATTTCTAGCCTGGCTTTAAAGCACTGATACCTGGGTCCTACACCAAAGGGTCTATTTAACTGCCTGGGATGAAGAGTGGGCATCAGAATTTTAGAAGCTCCCCGATGATTCTAATGGGCACCCAGGGCTGAGAATCAGTGAGCAGGTTCAAGTCCCTATTTTTCATGCAGACAGCATGAAAGACAGACATCTTTCCTTCCTGAAACAATTTAAAGATGACTCTAAGAGCCTCATAGGCACAAGGAAAGTAGACAATTACCATCTTCATGTGCTTTCAACAGTCTTTTTCTTCCCAAGAAGATGGCCAACCTAGATTCTGGCTGCTAATTATTGTCACTGCTTGGGTGAAGAAGATAGAAAAAAGAAAATAGAACTTTGCATTATGTTTTTACTGGAAGGAATTTGATCAATCTTTCAACTAGCCTAAGCCTCCCCAGTCTTTTCCCACTAAGACAAACTCCACTCCCTCCACTTGCTCCTAGGTGGCCCATTATGCCTTTTTTTGTTGTTTTATTTCCAGCTTCTTCATTGATCTCTGATCAGTCATCATGGGGCTGGTACAATCCACTTCTATCTCCACAGGAAACACTCAGGCACTCTGAGCTTATTTTGCAAGGCTGGATCCCCTCACAATCAGAAGAGACCTGAGGAAACACACACAGAATACACATAAACAATGTTTGAAGCTCATCTGAAGTCCAGCCCCAGAGGTTGTGAAATCCTCTCCTAGAGTTCCAGTTCCAGTGCTGACTTCTGCACAGCTGTTACCAATAAGGGAACAAAGCCAGTCACATGGGCACCATGTCTCCCTGATGTCCCAGAGACTTGAATGGCCTAGACAGGTTATCTCTCAGGAGAGCATCCTCAGCCTGGTTCTTCCCAACAGAGGAGCCCCTGTAGCATAAGCAGACTTCAAGGAAAGCATCTGCATTCTGTTTCTCTCTCTTCATCCTCTTTCACATGCCCTGCATTTCCTCTTTTCTCTTCCACTTTCCTTTTCCTTCTTTCTTTTTCTTTCTCTTTCTTTCTTTACTGCCAATTTTGAAGGCTTCTTTTGGCTACCTTCCTTGACACAATCAAACATCTGCTGCATTTCCATTAGAAACCATTTTTTATATGGGCACTTAATTCTGGCTGCCAAGAGTTCAGTGTATGGGGTGGATAAGGCAAGGTTCAAGCACTGAATTACCTGCAGATGGTTGCAGAAGCACAAGTTCACTTGTGGTAATTTAGGGTATGGATGTCTCCATTTGACAGAGCAAAAACTAATGTCAGGAAACCTTATTCACTTTTCCAAGGACACACGACTGGTCAGAGGTGGATCTGAGGTATGAGTTCAAGATTTCCAGACTTGGATGTCCATGCAAGGGGTTTTGGAACTCCTCCACTCATTCAAGAAATCCGTGCTGAGCACCTTCTAATGAGCTGAGCACGGTATTAGTGCTGGGCGTTCAGCAGTGAATAAATAGCAGGGCAAAAATGGTACTTTCCCAAGTACCATCCAGTGGGAAAGACTCTAGGATGGTGCTGAGTACAATGAGGTGTGAGGGATGCTCCTAGGAAGGCATCTCATCAGCCTTAGAGTCAAAAGAGGCTTCTCAAAATGACATCTAAGCTGAGACCAAAAAAGGGGGAAGGTAGTCTAGTGAGAGGGAAGCTTGAGCAAAGATATGCAGGTGAGACTCTGGTTTCTTCAGGAGATGCCAGGTGTGGGGTGGAAGAGGATAGAGTACCAGGCAGTGAGAGGAGAGATAGGGAGGCATGTGGAGTACTGGTCATGGGTTCCCACTTTGAGGACAGCAGAGATTACTGCATGCAAAAGCAGGAGCTTGTCACAGGAGTTTCAGCAAGATCACACTGACTGGATGTGGATGTGCTGACAGTGAGAGATGATGGTGAGGAGGACAGAGTCTGAATGCAGGAGATAACAGTTAAGGAGTCAGTTGCTGACTTGGTACTTGCTTCGATGTGAGGATGGGAGAGAAAAATGTCAGGAGGGCACCAGTCTCACCTAAGTGACAGAGCTGGCCATGGTGCCATTCACAGGGAAGGATACCATTGGGAGGGCAGAGAGTTAGTGGTACCTGTGGTGACCAGGAGCAGGCCAGGACCAGGGTGAGATGTGTGAGGCACGTAGGACAGGAATTCAGGGGAAGTGCTCACTTCCAGGGTCGGGCAAATGTAGTGCCAGCCCCTGCAGGAACCTAGGAGGAAGTGCCTCCTTAAACACTGTGCCCTGAACACCCATATGCTTCAGCCAGTTCTGCTCCCCAGAGAGTTCTGAGATGGAGGTCCAGACCTGGGAATCATCGGCATAGCAGCTGAGACTAATGTGAATAGACAGGAAAACAGGTAGAATGGAGAGAGAAAGGAGAAGCAGGTTAAGCCTCAAACTCCAAGGGTCACATCCTTTAAATGGGGTGGGGAAAGTAAGAGGGGGGCAAGAAAGAGACTAAGAAGGATGCACCAGGGAAGTGGCAGCAAGAGAGCCCGGAGTCATGGAAGGTTAAGGAAAATGGTGCATCATGGAGAAGGGTGCAATCAGTAGTGTCAAGTGATGGAAAATGAAGATGCGCACCCTCTGAATGAATGAAGAGCAGCCCTCTGAGGATATGAGTGTAAGGGAGGTCTCCACAACCTTGGAATCCCAGGCTCTGAGGAATGATGTGAGAAGAAGGAAATTTTCACTTCAGGAAGAAGAGAATGAGGGGAAAGCTAAGCAGGAGGTGGAGGAGATCTGGAGTTGAGGAAAAGCGAGCTTCATCAAATTAAGATGGAAGAGCTAAGTGTGATAAGCCTGAGTAGGATGAAGTACTCAGGACAGACCCAGAAGAGGAAGGGTTTGAATAGAAAAGCTCATGGATACGATGTAGGAGCCTTAGGAGAAGAGAGTAAAGGACCACAGGCCAGGAAGTGTTCATCTTCCTTGTGATGTAGGTGGCAGAGCCCAGGTATAGGCAAAAGGTCAGGAGGCTGAGGGCACCCTTTGATGGCTTCTGTCTCCATGAAGAGAGTGGAGGACTAAGGCAGCTGGGGACAGAGCTCCTGAAGACAGGAAGAAGCCAGCCAGCCCTGCAAAGCCCGTTGCATCTTCAGAGTTAATGTCTCCACTTACGTAGGAAACATGATGTCTGGATTCAACAAAAGGACACAGGAATCATTCTAATAAATAAGAGTTCATTTTCTTCAGAGAAAGCAATTGATTTCAGAGAACTTTAGTTACATTTTAACATGTATGAAAAACTTTTCCTTAGAATTATTTTCTTGTGTTCAAAACAGCAATAATGAAAAGAATCAAATTATGTAAAAATTGAGGTCATTGTGAAAAGGTCAGCTTTTTACACAATAGATAACACATTGGCCTGGAATAATCAGAATTTCTATCACGGTCTGACAGCAGGCTAATAAGGCCCCAAACATATGTGGAAGGAAAGTTCAGTTTGCTGGCCACTGATTTGACCTTTTATAAACCTTTGTAAGAAATGGGTCATTTAAGACAAAGGAAAGAAAAAAACAAATTATAGGAAATATTCCTAGAGGGTGCAATTTTTTTTGGCACAGCATCTTCTCTGGATGTTTGAATTCTCAGTAGTATTCATTCGGCTCTCACCCCTGGAAATCTTTACTTCATTGTCTCATTGGAATGGGGGATGAGTACTTAGAATTCTTGGCTTACTTTACTGAATTTAAAAAGAACAAGTTCAAAACACCCTCTATCCACAGCAAAAACCAAATTCTAGCCAAAATCTACAAAGTTAACTCTTTTCAGAAAAATTAAATCCATAGTTGGTGCTACAAAATATACCATCTTGAGACTATTTTTCTTGTACCGACTTCCTTCCATAGTTGGAAGTGTCTCTGAGTGTAAAGATAATTGACATAACTAAGTCTTTTCTGCTTCACTTCCTCCATCCCTTCCTCTCCCTCACTCCCAATCCCCATAATCAAATCTCCTTTTCCCACATGCAAGTACATTCACACTCACACATACTTTTTCCCCCTCCTGTCCTCCTCCTCTCCTCCTCCTCCTCATCATCATTTTGTAGCTTCTCTGAGGACTTTCAACTTCAAATTGCCTCATCTCCCAGGCAGCTGCAACAACAGAAATTAAAGCCCTGATATCAAGTTGCAAATAGCAAACAGGAGAGAAATAAATGCTGAGGCTGAATAAGACAGGGCTGGGTAATAAAGCACCCTTGCTCAAATTCTCTGACCTCATTTTTTTCCCTTCCAACCAGAATCAGGATTGAGAAAAGCTGGATTTGGCTCTAGGGTCAAAATTTTACCCAAGTTCACATTTTAGAAATTTTGCTACTGTGTCCCAACAAGATGTCTATGTCTAGCCACTTGGCTTCTGTGGACCTACTCCTTCAGCCGATGGCATTGGAAATGATCATCTCTAGGGATATCCTATAATTCTGTGATAGGTCCCAATTGAGAATCACTAGAACCCAGGCTGGTGGGAAATTCTGTTCTGGCCTGAAAGTATTACGTTGAATCATGGATAGTAAAAGAGAGAAAAATTCACAAATTCACAGTGTGGGGAAAAGCCAGCCTGCTGTGTATCATTCACACATACCTATCTTCTCTCAGCATTTCCATGACCTCTCACCTCAACCTGATGAATCTCACACCTATCCCAAGGACGGCCTAGCTAGCAATTCCTCACAATCCCTTCATTTTAGAAGAAAATAGAGGCGGTTTTTGGGGGGTACCGGGGACCAAACTCAGGACCTTGTGCTTGCGAGGCAGGCACCGGAACCACTGAGCTAAATCCCCAGCCCTAGAAAATAGAGGTCTTAAAATGTGGTAGAAGATCCCCAAGCACTCCCAGATACATCATCTCGTTTGTTCACCTTGTTTTACCCTTTTCTTGCTTATAAGAAAGAAGAGGCTCAGATAAGATCTCTGAACTCTTCAGGATCACAAAGGATGTAGCAAGACTAGAACCTACAAGCCCTACACTGCCTGACCCTTCTTGAGTCCAGAGAAGGGGAGTAGTTGAGATCAAGCTTGCTCTCAAGAGAGAACCAGATCCAACTTTGGAATGCAGAGCTTGTCTCTGTCACCCAGTCGCCTCCCTTTCTGTCCTCTTCTCTTCTTCCACCTCCCTTCTTTCCATTTTTATACCCTGCCCAATATTCCCATAAGTGCTGAAACCCTCCCACATGGGCCTGCTCCCTTTCACAGTGTGCGGTGCTCCCAGATTACTCAGTGTTCTCTTGTTTCCCCCTACTCCACTTCTCCCTGCCTCTCCCCTTACCACCAACACTGTGTCTAAGACAGAGTATGCCCATTCATTCAACAAAAAGGGCTTTGGCTCCATCAAGCCACAGGCT